GCAAGGAGCAGTTTACGTCAGTGATATGAAAAACCACCGCTTGCAGATCTTTACCTGAATAGCATCATTGAACTTACCATTATTATTAATACTAGCTGTGCACATTGTAAATAAGCCAACCCGAATTGCCTGTTTTCAGCGAGAAATGGTGATATTCTAGCTATTTAACCCACCAATTCCTGGGCACACAACATTTACATCTACGATTTCACACTTTGCATTGAGTGTGCGCAGAAGTACTGTAACCCTCGCTGCACATGCGCGACGAGAGTTAACGTATCGTAAGGAACTGAGGAGACCTTCTCTGGTCGATGCATCCACCAGTGTTCAAGTAGTTTTTCCCTACATCATACGTATTGAGCATCAACCAATGTTCAAATACGTGTTCAGGAGTGGGAGAAGGTGTACTATGCTGCCAGTACTCATCTCGTGAAGGAAGAAAAGGAGAAGAAACTGGACGAAGCAGCGGAACTCATTGAACAGGTCTTGAACCATAGTTTCTCAGCACATATTTGTTCACAGTTGTCCTAGTGAACAACACAAAGTATCAGAAGTTTCTGTGTACAGTGAAGTAGAGGGAGGGTAGGGTAGGGGACTATGTAGGTAGGTAGTGGAAGGTAAGGATTCCAGTCAACTAAAGAATGGTTGAAGTACACTGGACACGTGGGGAAAAAGAATCGGTTTCAGTCAGGAGTCAAACTTTCATATCGTGAATGGAAGTCCAGTGCGCTACACATGCTCTAAGAAAAAAAACCATTCCCCTTTAGTCCCTTCTCTTTCCTGGTCTGTATACTTTACCATCCTTCAGTTAACATTTATAGCTTAGAGTAATGTTAGGATACTGTAAGGCGTAGGGGATACTAGTGGGGTAGATGTGAGCCTAATGGGGTGTTTTTAGTCATACTGTATTTGTATGGGTCTTTTGAATAGCAACTTCATCTGTTGGGAGCTACTGCTATTGAAGACAAGCTTCAGAAGGTAAATATTTTGTATAATTATGATGGCAAAGCTATCGTTGTTATATTTACACCCAACTTACCTCTAAAGTACATAGCAATGTGAAAATGTTCGGTCCACCTATTAGTCGGCGTATTTTTTACGGTCAGGTTTTTTTATGGAGTGAAGGTTTGGGGAATAACCATAGCTGTCTATTTGTTGTACTTGATCTACAAGTGTTGTGTTGTACTGTGGCAGGATGTTCCGGAGACGATAGCGACACTCCGAGAGGCAAACATGAAGGTCTGGGTCCTCACTGGAGACAAGCTAGAGACTGCCGTCAACATTGGTAAACCACATTAATAGTAGCGAAAAGAAACTTGTTTGGCCTGTGTGCATGGCCCGCGTAGCAGAAGCATTTGTGAAAAATAAGTCTCAAAATTTTGTCGCAGAGGCAAGGTTTTTCGGATATGGAGGATGGATTATACCCTTTTGACTGTAGATGATACTATGGCCTTCTTTCACTGCAGGCTATGCTTCAAAGCAGTTGGTGGGTGGAATGGACATTATGACAATCAGTGACCAGGCAACCATCACTGTATGTTTATCTTGCAACTAATTAATATGTGTTCTATGTAACCGAGTGTGTACTAAGACTGTGTGTATTTTATGATGTATATGGTTGCTCCTAGAGCAATGTGAATAATTGGCAAGCAAAGCGAACCTACAGCTAGTCGTGTGAATTACGCTCTTTTTTTTTCTTCGTATATATGCAATCCGGCGGTAGCACTTTCATATGTATGTACCCTAATTTTACGTAACTCTAAAATAGACAAGAAAAGGGATTGAAATTTCGCAATCATCCATGTCGTGTGTGACTGCTCGCCAAAAAAATACGTTCCATTCGTTCTAGTATCGTCGTTTTCTCGGGCATTACTGTAGGAGTGTGTCCTTTACATACATTAATGCCTCTTACTGATGTATGTGTACGGTGGTGGGAGAGGATTCTGAGATTGATGTGTCGTACTCTCTCCACAGGATGTCCAGAGAAAGTTGAGTGAGTTCTGTGGCAGAATTGACCGAGGGACCACTGAAAGACATGTGAGACTCACACACAATTCATCGTTGAGTATAATTATGACAGTGTACATAATATATAGCTACCGTATATTGAGAAATGTTGGAAGTTATGAGTAGCGATTTTTCCTGATATGTTACTAAAGTTGATTGTGATCATCGTGTAGCTCTTTATCGAACAAAGAGGTTAAAAGCAGGACCGGCAAATTTTCCACCTGTTACCGTAATGTAATATCACAGTTATACTGTCTTCCCATTGCAGGCTGGACTGGTGATAGATGGAAAGGTAAGCTTTTCATTAACAAATGCACAGCTGTAGTGTGTGCATGTGTTTCTGTCAGTAATTAAACCTCGGGCATGCATGAGAGAAAGATAAGATCCCTCGCCTAGAACAGCCCAACCAAACTTGTTTGTTCTACACTTTTGTTGTTACTGCGTATTACAGTAGTCTCCACATAATCACTATTGCTGTTGTCATTCCTGCAGTCTCTCAGTTTTGCCCTCGACTCTGCAGTGGAGAAAGACTTTCTGAATCTTGCTCTCTCTTGCAAATCAGTCATCTGCTGCAGGTACTTAGATACTGCTTCCAGGAAAAACCTCTCTCTTCTATTCTTTATCCTTTATCTCTTTCTCGCCTATTTTTCCTCCCTTTGTCTGCCTCCTACCTCTCTTTTACATACGTATCTGCCTTCCTCCCCTCTTTCTCCATACTCAACCCTCTTCCCCCTCTCCCTCCCCCTCCCCTCTCTCTCCTCCATCTCTCCCACTCAGGGTGTCTCCGCTACAAAAGGCAGAAGTGGTGAAACTCGTGAGAACAAACGTAAAGGACAGCATCACCCTGGCCATTGGCGATGGTGCTAATGATGTCTCAATGATTCAGGTCAACTTTTCCTCCCACTTTTGTTGAGCCAAAACAGGTTCCAAGGAGACTATGAGAGTGATCTGTGAAATTTTTAACTGCGAGTTTTTGTCGGTGCAGATCATTGCTTGACACATTCATGTCCAATAAACCCACATAAAATCCAAGTTGGTGAAATCACTGCCTTGACAAGCAATCGTAGAATGTTCCCCACTGTACAGTAGTACATGCCCTTTAGTGGTCTGTATAATACTGTGTATCAATGCAGGCGGCTCATATCGGAGTTGGCATTAGTGGGAGAGAGGGTCTGCAAGCTACACTTGCCTCTGACTATGCCATCTCACAGGTATATACACACGTACAGTGGTTAAGACTTTGCTCAAGAAACTAGGCTATTAAGCGCACCATGCCATAAGCATAGCATGCACTTTTGACACAACCCTTTCTGTTCTAGTCCATGGCCCAAGGCTGTGACTGCCGTTGTTAAGCAATTCCATACATTTTCCTCTCCTTATTTATTAAGTTAACCCTTTCCCTCTTCTCCCAGTATCTCTTTCTTTTATCGCTGTCTCTTCGACATTTCACTGTAGTTCCGGTTCCTTGCCAAGCTCCTGCTGGTCCACGGAGCCTGGAACTACAGAAGACTGGCCAACGTCATCCTCTACTCCTTCTACAAGAACATCTGTCTCTATATGATTGAGGTCTGTACATTACTCTCTAGTCCTCGGTAGTATAGGTGTTTAGGTTAGTCTCTACTATTTTGGGCCTCCCATTTACTGCCCCTCCGTGATATTTTTTGTGGTACAGTCTCAGTCCTAGTCCAGGTATATTTATGTGGGACCGTTAGTTGTCTCATCTTTTCTGACATTACTACAGTCTATATATGTGGTCTTGAATCTTTGTCAATCCTCCAGATAATTGGGGCTAGCTGATAGTCTTATATGTTCCACTGTCATCTATGTACATGTGTTCGTACATTATAAGCCGTATATACATACTGCAGTTCTGGTTTGCCTTTCTGAACGGGTTCTCAGGGCAGCCACTGTTTGAGCGATGGACCATTGGACTATACAACATAGTGAGGACCTACATATACACTATTTGTCTTCAAAACTAACAAGTATAGGTTTGATCATGGCAAAGTTTGCTCTACGATCGCGCATACCAACATGGTAAAGAGTGATTGCTATGTAATGTCTCTGCTGCTGGAGTGTCAGTTTATCATGTTCATGTGGTGATTAGTGATACCACCCAACCACCTTGAGCATTTTTCATCATGTATGGCATCTGAGTATGAGTTTATTGTTGGGTAAACTAAAGTGTGCCAGCACCTTTTATTTGATGCTATATAAGCTGCAGCCAAGAGAGAACTGTCGTATACCGACTGATATTTAATGTTCAGTTCTTTCTAGTAAGCTGCATGGTGTCCTATTTGAATATTGATTATGATTGAAACCTACTCATCTCCATTGTCTGTCCAGCTGTTTACTCTGCTGGCACCGATAGCTCTGGGTGTACTGCATGATATCACTCTCCTACTGTATTCATCTTGACTGACACTTACATCATCTCCATTGTCTGTCCAGCTCTTTACTCTGCTGGCACCGATAGTTCTGGGTATACTGGACCAGGACGTCAGTGCCTCCACCAGACTGGCTCAACCTCATCTCTACAAGACCTCTCAACAGAACTCTGCCTTCAACACCAAGGTCAGAATGACGGGGAAACTCATATTTGTGTTTATCCCTAGAAATGGCAGTGTACATTCTGCTCTCTGTCTTGTGCTCACTTTACCAATTGTGTGCGTGTGCAGTAATAATTGTGCAAAATGCAGTGACACGGATTTGAGTGTGATCTCTGCTCATCTCATAAAAAACATTTTGTGTATCAGAGAAAACGACACATTTCTCTAGCCCGGTTGTTGTCTCAGCAATGGAGATGAACTGCACGTAACTGGATAAACTTTCTCTCTGGTGTGCAGATGTTCTGGAAGTGGGTGTTCCTGGCTCTCTTCCATTCCGCTCTCCTCTTTTATGCCGTCTACTTCCTACTGTGGCACGGTCAGTCACTCTATCACCTAGTAAACCTTTGTGTGTCATACTTCATCATTTTGTGGACACACTGAATAGCAACACGCGGCATACTGCAATTGTATGCAGTGTGTCTATAGCTCAATTCTAAGCAAGGTTCAGTGGTATGTTTGTCTACTCTCTAGAGACACCGTTTGAGAATGGTCAGGTGTTTGGGATATGGTACGTGGGAAACACAGTCTACACTGTGAGTTAGACCCTGGTCGTTACAGCCATTATTAATATCTTCCCTTTACCCCTCTCTTTAGGCGGTGGTAGTGACAGTGAATGTGAAGGCAGCCATGGTCACCCAGTACTGGACACCCGTAAGATAAAACGCCCTTTCCTTCCTGAAAATTCTCTCCTCCCTCCATATGTTTCGCAGTTGACACACTTTGCCATTTGGGGGAGCATTGCAGCCTGGTTCTTGTATGTCTTAGTCTACTCTCATTTCTGGTGAGATAATGATAGTAGTAGGCGAATGCAGTGCATTATTGGAGTATAGTATACACTGAGCATGTGTATATACATAACTGTTGACTTGTACTTGTCTCTATTTTGGTCTGCTCCCCTCAAGGCCAACCTTTCCCCTGGCGGTGGAGTTTGTTGGTCAAGACTTTAAACTCTTCACTTCCTTCACTTTCTACGGTCTGTTTGTTCTGGCCCCAGCCGTTGCCTCTCTACCAGAGTTCATGTACATTGTGTGAGTTTGTAAATCATAAATCGGTAGTCATGTAGCTAGCTACTGTCTTGCTTGAGTCATAATATGACCGAAACATCTGAATAAGGGACACCTTTGGGATGTTGAACATTTCCTGATTCAGAGGTGTCCTTTATTTGGAAGTACTAGTGTGGATGTGTCCCTTATAGAGAGGTGCCCTTTTTCGGAGGTTTCAGTGTAGAAGAAACCGCCCCTCTAGAAGCTCAAGAATGTAATACAGGAAACCTGCCGTGTGCCGTGGTGTTTGTTGTATGTAATGGTGAAGATTGTATATACCAGTTTGTGTCTGTGTGTTTTCAACTGTGCAGATTTCAGAAGACGCTTTGTCCGACTAGCATTGACCGGGCCATTGTGGCTGATGTTGAAGGTAGAGGTGGAAAGGTATGTGTACACATCACTCAGCCTGTGTATTGTAGTGTTTATTGTGGCATTCATTATTATGCCAACACATTCTGCAGATGATAGAAAGGGACAGGGAGATGGGCCTGTCAGTATCCTACTCTGTGTCAAGGTAAAGTTATCATGGAGAGTATAATGTACTTATAACCTTGGTCATCAGAGTAAACTTTGATACTCACATAATATATGTACATCACCAAGCACGGTATTATAGGGACGGGCAAGGTACCCAGCATCATACAGTCATGTATGTTCTCTCTGTGGTGTTATATACAGTGGTTCCAGCACCTATGGAGATGGTATGGATCCGGGAGAAACAGAGAGAGCACTCACTTACAAACGTAAGACACAGTAGCTACCAGTCCAGAGCTGTGTTAAACTTTCATCTGTAGAGACATTTTGTAATGTATGTTTGTAGTGTAGGGTGCATTCATCACACATCCATAGCAGCTATAATAATGTCACTATGTTATAGTTATCACCTTGCCCCGTTTGTTCAATGTGCAGATGGATATGCATTCTCTCAAGAAGATCACGGATCTGCGACAAAGGTCGGGAAATAATTTTTTACATTTTGTGAATTTTGAGCTAGGCTGCAAAATTTACTTGCCAATAGCTTCCTCGTTAGTGTGCACTGTGACACATCATGTGTTCTCCCACGCAGGGTACCTTTGTGCAGCGAAGGGACCTGGTGAGGTTTTACGACACACAGAAAGGACACACATGAGTGGACGTTTTACCCTAATTTTTATATGTACAGTGTGCTTGTGTGTGCATGTGTGCGAAAACGGAATAGAGTTTTGATTCAATTAACTTTTTAGCTTGACATTGAAGATAGGCTCGCTCAATTTCGATTACAACGTAATGACATGAAAATGTATTAATATTTTTGTCGGTCAATGTGTTTTGATGTGAAAAAATTGTGAATCATTTTCACTACACATTCTGATAGCACACATATTGCACAGCCACTTCAATCATTGATACAGTCATTGCTATTCTACTCGGCAGTTTCAGTCTTCCTTTTGCCTTTCTTTGGAGGAGGGGCAATCATAGTTCTCCAGGTATCAGCAGTGGCACGGTCTGACTTTGTGATGCCACTGAAGTCAAACGTCAGGAGCTGTGGTAGGTGGCAGATGATGTACTGCCGGTAGCCGGCGTTGCTCTCAATTGGGTTCCCGTGTAGGGTGAGGGTTTTGAGTCGCCCGAGTCGAGACAGTTTGTCAACGTCGGCAATCCTTCCAATGTTGTTGCCGTGTAGGTAGAGCATTGTCAGGTTCTTTAGTTCCAGTATGCACTGAGGTAGGGTCAGAGTACGGCAATCAAGGTAACAAAAGAGTCGTATGTGACTACTGGTATATATATAGTGCGTGAGATTGCAACATCAAATGTATGGGCTGGCCATACCATAAATTAAAGCCATGTGAACAGTCACGCACACTATATATACCAACATCTTGCTGCATGCAGTGTGTGCATAGGTTAAGGTTCCTTATAGGAGAGACTGTATGTAAAGGCTAGTTTTCTTCAAACAGCAATAATTATAATATATGTGGGCATTCCAGCAGGTGAACTAGCACAGACTCACTGGGTCAATGGTCCTGAGCTCATTGAGGGCGAGGTCCAGCCAGCAGAGGTGGGAGGTGTGGTCCACAAACAGTCGACGCAGGGTCTCGCTGAACTCGTCCCAGAAACCCAGTCTGTTGTTGTTGAGGAGGAGAGCTCTGCTGGTGGAGGCTGTGATGTCGAGGTCTACAGTTTCTGTTGAGTCATCTGCTGCCAACTCGTCCTCATCCAGTGGCAACTAAACACCAGAGAGAGAGATAGAGGGGGTGGGTATTAGTGTAGTTAGGCTTTGTCGCAAAGGGAGAGAGGGGCATCAGTAAACATTTCACACAGAGGCTTTTCTATTGGAGAAGAACCTAGCACAGAATTAAGTGCAGACCATAAAGTACTACTCACCAATCCATTTCCTCTTCTAATACGAGGCTTCTCCCTCAGAATATCTAAAATACGGTAGAGCTAACTGACCACACTAACTTCAGTAATGGACTTGCCATGAAAAGTCCCTATGGCCTTGAAGGAGTAGTCGAGTGGTTGCTGTACATCTAGTCTGTTGTCCACCACCGCTTCAGCCTTCACTGGTTTGATGCTCATTTCTGCTAGTCTCGCGGGTAAATGTTATTTCGTTACCATGGCAATAGATTATTAACCCCTTCGTCCTTGTTCCTCGTGTGCGCTATTTACAAGCGATCGTTTTCCTGGCTTTGCTGACTGGAGATATTCTTGGGGAAGATCATGAATGCGTACGGCGTGTTGGTAATGTTCTCTCTAGGAATGATCGTGCTACCTGTGGGCGGTTTCTTCCTGTCCAAAGCAATCCTGTTCGAAGGTACGTTAGCTTTTGATCTAGCATCGTATGTTGTAGCGGTTCGCATAGCTACTAGTGTCGTTTCCTTTCTACCTGCATTAGCAATCAGTTACCTGATGAGCTTTACTACAGTTTTAGTGTCTCTACATCTCTCTACTAGCTGTCTTGCACACTTGGCAGTTTAATACCCCTTCTCTCTCCTTCCCTTCGTCTACTCATCCACTTTCCTCTCCCCCTCTCTCCCCCTCCCTTCCTCTTTTTGTTCCCTCTGCCATAAACCCCAGCTGCACTGGGCTACCCCGATGGCTCAGTGGGGGCCGCCATAGTTGCCGTTGTACTCATACACACTGTCATAGCAGGCTACGTGTACACCGCATGGAAGGACGGCCCCACTACAATCCAGTTCAAACAAGATTAGAGAGAATGTTCCTTTGTGTGTGTCCATTCACTACCCATCTCTTTCACTCTCTCTGTGTGTGTGTTGTATCAATAGAGTTGTTAATTTGACGACCCTGCTAAACCTTTGAAGCTCGACTATAACACAACATGTAAAGGTTGCTTGTGTATTGTCCCATAACACACTTCACTGGGTCAACTACATAATATGTGCAAATATACCTAGATTGTCGTGTTGAAATAAAGGTGAAAGAGGGATTGGTAAATCTCGATAGTGATAGCTGCAGAAACACAGGGTACAGTATGTTACTATTCCATACTCCAACTATTGTCAAACTAGTAAGCATAGTTGGTTCGTCTTTATTCCACTGGTATACCTACATAAAATGCAAAATTGTTGACACCTTTGGTTGGTATTATTGATCGGCAAAAGAGAGGTGAAAGAGGGATTGCTAAAGCTAAATAGGAATAGGTGCAGGAAGATAGAGTACATTACTATTCCATACGTCAGAACATTACATATGGTTGGCTTGTCTTTACTTCCACTGATATACCTACAAAAAATGCAAAATACAGTAGTTGACACCTATATTAGAGGTTGGGGGGTGGGGGGACGGGAAATAGAGGTGAAAGAGAAGCTGGTGAAACTAAATAGGAATAGGTGCGGGAAGATAGAGTACATTACTAATCCATACACTAATGATAGTCAAAGTACTATGGATGGTTGGCTTGTCTCTTCTTGCACTGATGTTCCTACACAAAATGCAAAATCGTTGACACCTATAATAGAGGTTGGGGAGAGGTGGAAGAGAAGCTAACTACGGGTAGGTGGAGGAAGATAGAGTGCATTACTATTCCATACTCCAATGATAGTCAAAACATTGTGGATGGTTAGCTTATCTCTTCTTCCACTGGTCTACCTACATAAAATGCAAAATCGTTGACACCTGTCGGGGGTGGATCGGCAAAGGTACACAAAGATAGAGGTGAAAGAGGGATTGATGAAGCTAACTAGGAATGGGTGCAGAAAGATCGAGTACATTACTATTCCATACACTAATGATAGTCAAAGTATTACAGATGGTTGGCTTGTCTCTTCTTGCACTGATGTTCCTACAAAAAATGCAAAATTGTTGAGACCTTTGTTAGAGGTTGGTGGTTGGTGGTAGGTTAGCAAAGAGACAGCTAAATAGAGGTGAAAGAGGGAATGGTAAAGATAGACAGGGAGAGGTGCAGAAAGACAGAGTACAATACTATTCCATACTGTAAACATTTGTCAAAATATTACAGATGGTTGGCTCATCTCTTTTTTCCCTACAAAGTTGACACCCTAATTATACAGAGAGAAAGGATTGGTGAAGCGGATGGTTGGCTTGTCTTTGAGTCAGTTTCTTCCCCTAACACAGGCTAGCTGCATGAACACGGTGAGGGTTCAAAATAGATGACTTGTCTATTACATGCCATACTTGCATGGAGATATTTGCCTCATGTAAGAAAAGTGTAACCGTGTATTTTTTGCCTTTAGGGTAAAGAGACCATCACATGAAAATCATGAAGGAAAACACTTTTTTTCACAACACTCACACAAAATATATAAGATACTGATATACACAAAATGAGACAAATTAAGTCTGTGTTAGTTCAGTAAAACTGTACATGACTTCCATTCAACTAACATAATTATATTATATGATGTGCATAAAATTGTTCCGGACAACGATAATTATTACAGGCGATCTAGTGGGCAATGTAAAATTATGCGAGAGTCAAGGTGCGGCAAATTGTACAACTAATGGTTCTCCGTGTTTGACTTCCATGCTTTCTACTGCGGCCGCTGTTGCTTCAGACCTGTCTGTGACCTGGGGGGAGGGGGGAGGGGGGAGGGAATGGGTAGAGGAAGGTTTTTTTGTGGTTGACTTTTACTGTGGCGTATACGTATACACGGCACATTCTTACTTTGGTTGCAAGGCGGTAAGGTAAAATCAGTACTTGTGACCTAAAGAGTGAGCTGTAGGCTTCATAACATGTGTAGCATCCGTACACTATATGCAGACTGTTTACTTATTCATGACTCATTACGTAACCTTGTGATTCGTATAAAAAGTGTGTGCACGTGGAAAGAGATCAGATTTTCAGTCAGATTCAAAGAAAGAGATGAACGTTGCCACGCGCGAGGCTAGTGGCGCCACACATGAACCAAAGCAGACTGAACAGGCCCAAAGTGCCTGGCTTTCAGTTAATTTGGACAATAATGTGTGTAGTGACAGTCAACAAATCATTATGTTTTGTAATGAGAATGTAGGGGAGGGGGTAAAGCTGGCCGTGTTCAAACAAATAATTATGACATGCAAGCATGCAGTGTACACACACAGGCAGTGCACAAACTCACAAATCGGACGTCAGCTGGTGAGACCAGTTCCTTGGAGAGCATGACTGCAGGTGGCTGGTTGTTGGGAGGCAGTTTGGCCACCGGTCTGGAGACCCCTCTCAGAGACGCCACCTGTGACCTGGTGGAGGAGAACACACAAACCTCGGAACGTAATGAAAAAGTAAAGGGTGTAAGATATATATCGGTGTAGACACTATCAGTACAGTTTACAGCGTAGTTAATACTAGCTTGAAAAAAGAGAGAGAGCGAGTGAGTGGCATTGCTACATAAAGTATATACTATGTGAAGACCCCAGAACTCATGTGAATGACCCTACACACTTTGTTTTCTCCGCACTCAAGTTGTCCAGGAAGGTTCGAGCCAACTTGAGTGCGACAGAAGACAAAGTGTGTAGGGGTCACTCACATGAGATGTAAGTTCTGTATGGTTCGACTGTACTGCCAGTCTAACGAGAGGGGCATGTACCTGTATTCTCTAGTCCGTCCGCTGACTTCGGCATTCTCCATACTGTGAGGCTCAATGTATGTCACGTCTATTACATCACTGTGGGGGAGTAGGAGGAGGGAGAGGAGAGAGAAGGGTACGATGTTCCTGTCAGTTTTCCCAAGTTAGTCAGTAAGGCGTTCGAGGCCAAAACGTGTACTGTCACAGATTTAGGCCCATCTATGCATCAACACACACACACGCGCACGCACACACACAGTGAAAGTTCCACCCATTCTTTATGTCAAAAGTAACCATTCATTGTACGTGAAAGCCCACCTGAGCAAGGCCGTATCACAGCAGCAATAGCATACTGTCTGGGGATGAGACTAGTAATGCATTACTTTGTCTCTTTGCTACGTTGAAGACATCATTGATGCGTTCCATACACCATGCAATCGACAGATATATATACGGCTGGCCTTGGCTTTTTTTGGTGTCTAGCAAAAATGGGCACTAGGTGTTAAAAATGGTGTGTGTGAATAAACTTATCAGTCATGCCACTATCTAGTAGTACAATGATTATAGTCTCTCAACATGATGTGCACACGTGTAGCCTCATCGCGTTTCTCTGTAACTGAACAGCCAGTGGAGACAACTATCGACTCTCAAGTGACAACAGAAGCAACACAAAAACCCCATTTTACTACACCAGTATAAGTACATCTTAGAAGTGGTTGTTAGTGTGTGTGTGTGTGTGTGTGTGTGTGTAACATGAAGCTCTAGCTACAACTCATACATAGAATCATACAGTGTTGATAGAGTCAGAGACCCAAAAAAGAGCTCCATCAACAACTATACACAATCAACCTGTATATACGTACAGACAAGCACTCGCACACACTACCACCTGAATTGCAAATGTTTCTACACGTGCGATGATGCGCTCCCTGAAGCCGCGCAGTCAGAAAAAGAAAAATGGAAAAGAAGCCTTGAGAGACATTGTATAGTTAGTTCTCTCACAGCACTACATATGTACTGCACAATGCGTGACAAACTACTTTGGGAATAATTCACTTTTTGCGAAATTTTTTACATGCCACATTTGTGGTTGACCATGTTCAAGAACCTCCGAAACACGACCCTCTACATTAAAGTACACTATGGGTCAGCCCCATACTAATACAATATTATATTACCTATGACTAAGGGACACCTCAGAATAAGGGAGACTTTCAATGGGCTCAAGATATCCTTTTTCAGAGGTTTCACTATTATATGTGCGTAGGAGAATGTATTGGTTTTCTAGACTCACTTGGCAGTTTTCTGGAGGACTCTGTTGAGGGCGGACTCCTCGTCCGTCTTGGAGCTATCACTCATCCTGGACGGAGTAAGATAACTGAAGGAACAGCGATCAAGAGGAGGGGAGTACACCATGACATAACATTACATCATTTATATCACGTTTTGCGCACCAATGCATATCATTACTGCCACTGGTAGAAATTGGCAACTACGGGATGGACAAAACTGCCACTTGAACACCAATGGGACAAAAGAAAGGGTCCTTATTAATTGCATGCAAGAAGAGAGAAAGGAGAGAGGTGTCTTCATTTCAGGTGTCCTTAGAGAGAGGTTCCACTGTACTAAAGTGCACAGTGCTGCTAACAGAGCACATAAGTCATGTGATGAAATTCTCCTGAACTTTGTGTGTGTTGGACCACATGTTGACATCACACTCATGTGACTAAGTGAACATACTTGGGACTCAGGTAGTATTACACCTCATGCTCCACACTCTAGCTGAACAACCAATGATATTGCATGCACAGTCCACACCACCGAACCAGTTAACATGACACACCATCCCAGTATATATAGAATAACCTTACTACGTATGGGTCAAGTGTCTACAGTATTATTTGGGCTAGGTAAAACCCGTCTTAGGCCTAACTCTACTAGCTCACTCACGTAGGAATGGGCTGAGTTGGCTCCGGTAGTAATCTAGAAGTCTCCGTAGGTCCCTGTATATAACGAGATACTCACTTTCATTGTATGCTCTTTTAGGACCTATACATACTAACAGTATACGTTAGGTGGCCTTATAGAGTTTAGCTATCACCTATACAAAAAAACACGGACGAGCCGATACATTTCAAGGCTACGAGGGTTCAAACACGAACTGTCCCATTCTGTACCTGTGAGTCAGGTTCATCTTTACTCATGCAGCTCTGGAAACAGCCCATGGCGTCGCTGCGTGCAGAGGGAGCTGAGTTGAAACGGCTATTTCTTCTGGCTTCCCGGCCCGCAAAAACAATCCTAAATAATGCGCATCAGACACGTGACAAGCCGTACTTTAGGCCACGCCCCCTTATAACTGAAACCATAGCGACGTTGTGAAGAGAGGGGCGGAAAAAAACGAAAGCATGGCAGAAAGATCTGCAGACGTGGAGTTTCTTCAGCAACAAGGTAAGACTGTCATCTGGCGTTGTTTCAAGAAGCCCAAATGCAAAACAATTCTTACAGTGCAGAGGCTGAATGCTGTGCTCAGTCAGTACCAATCAAAGGCCCAGCCACCTTCCACACAGCATGAGCAGGTTGGCTACTTGATCTTTGCATACGTAACCACTTTTAAACTTTAAACCAAACGATTTGAAGTCAAGATTTTTCTATTATGTTTTTCATGCAGGCATTACCTCTGTCTTCAGGGGCTCCTCGTGCTGGCTGGCTCACTGACAAGAGGTATTTTAGACATCTGTAGGTGTCTTGCATTGGTTTCCTGTACCTGAGGTCGAATCAGGAAAGATGGTTTTTCTTTCTCTCCACACGCCTGTGGAAGCCGAATAACGGAATAAGCTTACTTCTAGCTAGACGAGCATCTCTCTTTTTATACATGTGTGTACAGTCGCTTACACAGATTGATACTCTTTGTCTTCTATCATCTTATAGTCTACTGACGCCACTACTGACTGAGTACGACAACATTATCGCTCAACTGCAGCAGAAAATCGCCACGTATCAGGTAATGAGCTCAAGTGTACGTGTGATATACCGAGTGAACTACAACTCAATATTCCAGACTGAGATAACGTCACTGAATTTGCACGTGGAGCAAGTAACAACTGAAAATACGAGGTAGGGAGGGATTCAGTGTCCGTTACAGAAATGTTTCAATCCCATCTACGAGTGAAATTGTGAAAAAGTACTGTATCTATAAACCAGAATAAGTATGCAAGCATGTCAGAATAAGTATGCAAGCATGTCATTGCTTGAAGAGGCTTAGTTGGTTATGCTATATATTGCATGTGTGTGTACTCTGGCTATATTCCAGGTTGCACCAGCAGTTGTGTGAGTCAGTGGAGACACAGCTCCTCAAGGAGGGCCACGAGGAGGGAGGGAGAGACGGGCTGAAGAGGAGCACAGCTGCTCTGCAGAACCAGTTGTCGGAGATTTCAAAGGTCACTTATTGTGGCAAAGACTGCGTACACTCTAGTAGTATCATATGGACCACTTTACCTATGGCTCTTCTGGTTATAATTCTGGTGCCATTTGGGGCGCATTTTGCATATTATTATGGTTCTTCTTACAGGAGAGAGATGAGTGCAGAGGGAAATTGAGGCAAATGACTTTTGAGCTTGAGTACCTCCAGAAGAGCGACAGAGTAAGAACAAAACTGTCATCTTTACTGTATGCTACTTGCTGTCGTTCATATAGGAAAAGAGTCAGTGTTTGGAGAAGTATAAAAATGAGCTGGCCACTGCTGAGGTGAGACAGTACACATTATTTTCATCTTAATGTATACACTTCGTGATGTGTTTTTTCCTGCAGCATAATGTACTAGCACTGCAGCAGCAAATGGAGGAACTTCAGACTGCTTGTGTCAAACTCAATGAGGTACATACAGTACAATGCGAATCCTGGAGTTTTTAGGTGTCAAAATGTCTCTGTTGTAGTTCCTCTGTTAGATTCTCCAAAATGTAATCACGTTAATCTTTTCGGATTCTTCAACTTATGTGTGTATGCGTGGTGTTTGTTGTATCAAGGAGTACAACCAGTGTATGGAGTCAGCTCGAAGCGGAGGGCAAGAGGTGGATGAGCTGAAACAGGCACTCAGCGATGCCCGCGTCCAGTGCAAGGCTCTGGAACTCAAAAACACAGAGCTGCTTCGAGCACACAGTCAGCTTGCACAGCGAATCAAGAAACAGGTCAGATGAGGCTGCATTTAGGACAGTGTATTGGCCCGTTTTACTCAGATCAACAGCAAAAATTAGTTTGCATACATTTCAGAAGAGTAGAAACACCTGCATGTCAATGGAATATAGGCCCTGTACTGATTTGTGGCTATATACACTGTGTGGTTTGACAAATTGTGTCTGATTTCAGGAGACGGAGAGGCAGGTGTTAGGCGAGCAGGGTCGAGCAGTAGATGGCAGAGTGCACTTACTGGAGCTAGCCAACACTGAACTTGAGGCCAAGTATATATACACTGACACACACCATACATCCCTGTCCCATCACACACAGTTTCACTGCAATTCATGCATAGTTGCTGTACATAGCACTAGTTTAGTTTAGCTAACCTCGTGGAACCTCGTTAATACGACCACTGTTAAAGCGAAATACCTGCTTAATACGAACCACTTTAAAACCCCCAGGCATTATAACACTAATACAACTCGCTACATGATGAAATTGCTTTTAATATGAAAATTTTTGATGGTCCCCTGGAGTTCATATTAACGAGGTTCGACTGTATTGCCCTCGGTTTTTGCCACGCACAAAGTCTCCTCACTGCGATCTTTTCCACAGGCTGGTTGCAGCTCTAAGTAATGTGAACATACTAACCCAAGAGAAGGCAAAGCTGGAGGAGAGTGTGTCGCTACATCAGAGCAGACTGTAAGTCGAACTAACACCTCACAACTACGGTGTAGATACATTCTCTATGTTCTCTGGAGGGCTGAGCTGGAGAGAGAGGTCCACCAGGCAGTGGGGCATGTAAAGGAGAGTATGGACATGGTGGAGAGTGCCATACTAGACAAAGACCAGGTATTACTGTATTCTGTATTCTTATCATTTGCAGATACATTGAGAGTGTTACCCATAGTATATAACCCTTTTGTACACAAATTTTGTTTCATTCGGTGTGATTTATACACATTGTGTTCGGGCTTAGTGAACTGGTGCTTGTCTAGTAATGAGATTTCTGACAAAATGTGCTATGAATGTTGTCACTATACCTAGTGTAGGAGTAAGCAAATTTCATACACACTTAACCTCAACTTTTGGCGCTTTGGTTTGTATGTAGTTGATGCATTCACGTAATTACATCTCTATATTATGGACTTTTATGTTGCTCTGTCAGGATATGGTTCTATAAGTATGATGAATGTATGTGTTCTGTGGCAGGCGGTGATAGTGAGTGAGCATAAGACACTGGAGGCTGAGAGACTAAGAGCAGCAATGGATGCACTGCTACAAGAAGCTGGTCAAAGAACACTGAGAGAGGTTGGTAAGACAGAAGAATAGAACCCGGGGGAACGAGAAAGGAACTAATTTCTGTCGAGAGTTGAACTCAGACGTCGTGACTGGAAGTCCAGTGAACATACTGAGCTATGTACAATTCCCAAAAGCTGGTCTCTTCTCTTCCTCCTAATATGGTATACTTGTATATTGTGCATTAAATTTCTCAGGTTGAAGCAGTTAGGGCCGATTACAACAGGAACATCGACAAGATGGTGGAGGAGATCCACAAGTTAGAAGTGGTAAGAGCTAAAAACCATAAATTGGGCTGTCTCAATCAGAAGTTGATTCCATGGTGTAGCGGTTATCACGTGAGTCTAACACACTCAAGGTCCCCGGTTCGATCCCGGGTGGAATCACTCTTTTTTACAACTTTATATCCATTATTCTATTCTTTTTCTCGCGAATTCATCCTGTCAAACACGTTTTTATTATTGGACATTTTTTCAGGAATGCGGGGAGAAGCAGGCAATTATTGAGCGCTCACAGAGGGAGAAAAACGCAGCAGAAATGGAATGTGAGAGGGCGAAGGAGAAGCTGACCATGGAGGCTGCTAAAACAGAAGAGACTCTTCAGACGCTGCAGACAAGGGTGTGTGAGGCTGAGCTGGCAGCAGATGAGGCACACAGGAAGATGGACAATGCACTGATGGCCAAGAGGGCTGCAGAATCCAGGTATGTGTCATAGTGGAAAGCATTTCACTATACAAAATCCTAAACATAGGGATGGTATAAAAGCAAGTTTTACTGGTGGTTTAGAGCTGGTTCGGTATTAACAGTGTATTGGGGATGTGCATGTGTGATACATGTAATTACATTGCCTGGTGTTTTGACTGAAGCCTTACAGAGGAGAAAAGGCACCACGAGGAGCTGTGTGGAGAGCTGAAGAGGAGACTGAGGGAAGGGGGGGAGGAAGGGGAGAGGGTGACCCGAGAGAGGGCTCAGCTGGCCGGGCAGCTCAGAGAGCTGATGGAGCAACTGAGGAGTGAGAGGGAGGCTCGAGGGGCAGTCAAGAGGAAGGCCAAACAGGAGGTGGGTCACCACTGTACTTGTACCTCTATCTGATGTGCTTAGCAGAGTTATGCTTTTGCCTATATTGTGTTTAGATTTGAGCCCTTTTTGTTGAGCTGCCTTCTCCTTCCTTCCTCTAGAAAGCAGAGTCATGTGTTTGATTCCCATCCAGGGCAGCTCTTTTTCAAGTGTTGTCCTGGGTTTCGTTGATATGTGCTTGCCTTGCTTTGACACCCATGAGCCACCATTCATGCATCTTCTTGACTGCTAGCATGGATTTACGTGGTGTGTGTTGCCCGTCTCGTTATCCAGCTTGCCGTGGCGAGCCAGCACTATGCTGTGAGGGAGAGAGAGCTCCAGCAGACACTACGGGTCAGGGAACAGAGCCACAACAAGTCTGTCGAGGAACTGAGAGACATGCTCACCTCACAGTTTCAAGTGGCCACCAGGTCTCCATATCTCAATAATTGGCGTTGTTGTTTTGGCGTACATGAGTAGTGGGTATTTAAAATCAGGCAAACAGAATGACTTGTTTTTTAACTTGTCTATGGCAATCGCACATTTGATCTATACCATGGCAAACCATGACCCAAAAGTGTAATGTGGACCTTGAACGGTGGGTGCAAGTGAATGCATTATAAGACATCTCTATGTATTCCCCAGAAGGGGATGGGCTACACCTAGCAGCAGTGCAAGGCTAGGGTAACCCGTGGAAGGGGCGAAGCAAGCTTCACTCCACCTTCCCAGCTTCAAAAAATTGCGGTAATATCGAGCAGACAGTGTCTGCATACCAGATATTACACTGGTAAGAACAGAATTTTCTAACTTGATCTTAGCCGATAGGCCGAGAAGCGATGACAGAAACTTTTTCGACACTGCTTATATCTGGAGACTTGCACCCAACACTTGTGGTTTTGTGACCACAGACAAGAGTTAATGATATTCATAACCAGCTTGCGATACATTCCTCAGCTGCAGTTGAGGGTTCTAGTCCCATGTATAATGAACTAATATGGATGAAGTAATATTGTGTAGGTTACAGCATGCACGACGTAGATTTCCAATGATTGGTTCAAGAGATATTGTGGTAGGACAGCTAGGTTTACAGTAGAACAGTATTTTCATTGAGCATCGCTTGGTAACAAGGCTGAGTTGAGATGTGCTTTCTGCTTGTGGGCTCCTGAATGAAGACACGTGACACCAATAGCCAACTTCTTTGTTCCATATGCAAAAGCGCTCTGATGGAGGATTAGGCCGCGTGTGATACACTTGCAGGCTAATAAGAGATTGATTTTCATCAAAGTATCGCAAGGCAAGGTTGTGAATATCAAACCAACCTAAATGTCTACCCAGTCCTTTTTATTACCAGAGCACAAATGACATGCAGCAAGTAGACGTAGGTCCACTATACATACACACAAAGGGAACCGACACCATCACCAATAATTGCCAAGCGAAGCGACTCTACCTAGTTGTTCCGAATCCAGTTGTGTATGATAGGGGGCACTGCGCTGTAACATCCTCGTGATTCTAAACACGTGCAAATACACACAAGAAATCCAACTGCTCCCACTCACTCGCCAAACATGCGTGGCATTCATCCTAGTATTATTACTAAACTTGATTTTAGATTGGAATAATGTTCCCCAGAAGGGGATGGGCTACTCCTAGCAGCAGTGCAAGGCTAGGGTAACCCGTGGAAGGGGCGAAGCAAGCTGCACTCCACCTTCCCAGCTTCAAAAATTGCTGTAATATCGAGCAGACAGTGTCTGCGTACCAGATATTACACTGGTAAGAACAGAATTTTCTAACTTGATCTTAGCCGATAGGCCGAGAAGCGATGACAGAAACCTTTTCGACACTGCTTATATCTGGAGACTTGCACCCAACACTTGTGGTTTTGTGACCACAGACAATGTGTTAATGATATTCATGACCAGCTTGCGATAGTTTGAGTGATACGTTGCTGTTGAGGGTACAGCCTTGTTCCAAAACCTTCCAGTGTGTTACTTTACAGTACTACATGAAGTATCTATCAGCATAGAAGTAATGTTTAGAGCTTTACATGGGGTGCTGCGTGAGTTGTCGTGTGTTGAGATTTGCTTCAGGGAGTTGTTGATGGCTCAAGTATCACTATACATGCCTGTGTGTATAACATAATTGCTGGATGATTGGTAGATATATGCAGGAAATATCAGTAGTATGTGTAGGAGTGCTTTTGCTGGGAATTTTACAGCTATGGTTCTAAGCTGATAGGGTTACAGTGCGTGTAACAATGAGGAATTTTCTTTTTGAACCACTACCGTCATACAACACGGACCTTGGTAAAAGTACAGTGTATTGCGTGTGTTAAAATTCACTCATGTACATCAGTAGATGTCCACGTGCATATAGTTTAGGGAAAGTGAATTATCCACTTTTGTTGTGGGTCCTTTGTACTACAAATCCCTCAATATACGACTATATAAATGTAGACATAGTGACAATGTAAGGAGTATGTATGTACATGTGTGGGTACAGATGGAAGGAGGAGACTAAGAGCATGACAGACAAGTTTGAAGAAACCATCAGAAATCTCAGGTGAAAATACAGCACCAGTACGTAATACATACATGTATGTATATGTTAGGGCGAATGCTGTCCTGTCTGGGTACTGCAACAGATTTGTTGGATATCCCTAGGCAAACGACATGTATGAACCCTTCTTGCACATGTAGGATTGTATAAGGCTGATACAATCCCCTAGTACCTAGCTTCATACATGTCGGTTGCCTAGGGATATCGAACAAATATATATACATTGCTATTGGGAGTCTTTCATTGGTGGTGTAGCTACACTAATGTCCACTGAATCTGTAGGAATGAGGCAGCCAGCTACAAGAAGAGAAACGAAGCCAAGAAAGTTGAAATGCACACTCTTTCAAGACAGAGAGACCAGGTATATAAGGTCGTATATAACCATACTCATTGTAACAGGCATAGTAGATAGCGCCATATTACCGCATAAATGGGCCCTCCTTTTGTAGAAGACCTGCAAGACTGTGAACCATTAGCACGCATACATAAAGGGGCATTACAGAAGGGCTAAATTGTACAACTAAATAAAGTGCTCCAGTGCAAGAACACAATTAGGTTTCCCATTTCAGTACAGTTTCTAAATTTAGCCCTTATATACATACTTCCACATTCCCTTTGACTTTGGCTTCTTCAATTATCACTCTGTGTGTGTGTGTGTTATTCTTGCTCCAATGAGTAGCAATCACGACAGCTGGAGAGGTTGCAGGCCAGCCAGACCCAACTCCACAGACAGTTGAGAGAATCAGAGTCCAGGGCTGAAGCTGCTGCTGCTCAGGTAACGATGAACGCTGCGTATTTTCACAGGTTTTGTAAAATCACGTGTAACAATACAATATGTGCATGGATCACATTTTAAAATCCCACATTCAGACGACTAGATAGGCTCGCTTCACTCCCCAATAATCCTCCAAAACACCAGTCATTACCACAGTGTTTATGTCTGTGAACACTAACCTGAATAGCTCTTACTACATGTGGGTCCAGTTTCTATGGTTGCTATATATGTATACAGCACAACCCTCAATACAGAAGGAAATTGGGTATATCCTGTGTATTACAATCAGACTTCTTTCCTTTTGTTGTTCTTAGTAGTGTATTATACATACGTACCTCCCCTTGAAACAGTGAGAACACTCTTTGATTCAGGACCTGTATGCTTCATCTATGTTATGTAGGATGAAGCTTTGCGTTGTATGAGGGATAAAGTGTCATGGCCCGTGCTGTGTGTGAAGAATACGTATGTGTTCTGTGCATGAGAGGGGTGAAGTATTGTGTGAGAGAGAGGTTAACTTGAAGTGCTTGTTTGTCCCACGTGTGTGAGATGTGTTCCATGAGTGCACTGTATTCTGTGAGAGAGGGATCAGTACAGTTTCCTATGTGTGTGTTTCAGGTGTCATCTCTACTGATGAGAGAGAAACAGCTGCTGGCTGACAGGAGAGAACTGCAGAGACAACTCGACAAACTAAAGCTAGAGATCACCCGCAGAGCTGGGTGAGCCCCTCCTATCTATTTCTCCCATACATGTACACTATTATACTGAGGGATATTCCGTAGAACAAGTGAAATAATGAAACACGCCTTGTAGTGTGCATTTATTCAAAGAAATTAAGTTTTTAAAAAAAGCTACTCAATCGCATTGCATTCTCAAAGGATATCTATCACACATGGTATACTATAATCATTTTTTCTCCTCATACAGGCTGGTGATGGCGGTACCAGGCAGCTCATCTCTCCCTCCTCCTCCTCCTGCCCCTCACCCATTCCATTTCCCTGCCTCCGCCCCCTTCCCCGCTGACCCCGTGACCCCGGCGATGAATCTCGACGGGAGAGGCTGGGAGTCGGCCATCGCTGGACTCCGGCAATCCATCAGACAGGCCAGACAACAGATGGAGGCGACTCAGCAGGAACACCACCACACAACAGCCTCCGTCACCTCTTTGAAACAGCCATTCACCGAGTGAGACATAACCGGAAAATGTGGCTGTTTATTTGTCTCACTAGGATTCCAAACTCTCTCAAATATTTCAAGTGGTTTATGATTAACACACGATGGGCAACAAATTTCTTTGTACACAGCCCATTGAGACATTATTGTCATTCCTCATGGTGACCAACCTAAGTCTCAAAGGATTGACATCTTTAGAAAATAGGTCCAGTTGTAAGGTGACACAGTGTGGATACTGTATCTGTTTGCATTTCTCAGTGTTGGAGAAGGAGACAGAGGATCAAGTCCAGAGAACTCTACTATCATCAGTGAAAACTCTTCTCTACACAGAACAGACCTTTCTCCTCCACCAAACCTACTGCCTACATAGTTGAAATGTTTGTAACTTGACGCGTGAGCTTGTGCGCATGTGCATTATTTTGACGACGACGTCGTCGCAGACGAACTCGCAAATTCCGCCGGAATTCGCTGTCTCTGCAAGTCCTCCGGTTTTATCGTGATAGTGGCGGGGATGGCGGGGTTCTGGCGGGAGCTATGGCCTAGACTACCTCAGTGGCCGTGTCTGGCGTCTCGCTGTGCCAGTAGTAGTGCGGACCACATCGGTACCAAGACGGAGGCAGAGTCGCGGAACGATGAAGCAGGTTGGCCTTGATCCACACCCCAGCACTGTGTCATTCAATCAACCATCAGCCGTGTGCCAACGTTCTAACTAGCTACTGATGATCACAGAGCCGCGTGAACGTTTTTAAAGCAATTGTGCATGTAACAGACTCTCAAGTCTCAATTGCATCACTTTAGCTTAGTTTCCGTAGCTCAGACTGCCAAAAACGTGCATTAACACTTTGCTAATGCTCTACTCAGAGCGAGACATACGCAGACTAAAGTGGAACTGGTTGTTTACGATGCTGGTCTCGATGATTGGGTCTCTCAACACTTGCTGCATCCTTCCCACCAACCACCAGTACATTGTCAATCCCACAGACACCGACGATGTCGTGAACATAACCAATGAGGTGAAACATCTCTAATTGTTTACTTACCACCTCATGTAATGTTAGTATGTTGTGTGTTACCAGATTCTGCACAGTAATAAGTTTCTCCAATGCAAATTGAAGCTATGATTAGCACTTACATTCCTGCAAGTGTCACAACCGCAAACCACCATCAAAATATATATGGTGCTCATGCATGTTACATGTTCGTACTGCTTGTATTATCTCGTGTGATTTGACTGAATTTGTGCTCCAGAAAATTGAACCAGGATTAGAATTGAGCGAAGAAATTTACACTCTGTCGTATGCTCTGCTGTTTGCTGGGAACTCTCTGGCAGCGCTAGCCTGTGGCATCCTCTTTAACCTCATCCCCACCTGGTACCTCTTCCTGACCAGCATCGTCATCCATATCATCGCGTTCGTGTTCTACCCCCTGGCCACGAGTAGCTGGATGATGCTGTTGTCACGTACCCTCGCCGGTCTCGCAACAGGCACTTCGGTCACAGTCACTTTCTCCTACTTTGGCGTGAGCTACATGAAATACGTCGAGAATTTGAAGCAATTGGATCAGTATGAAGAGCGAACTGCAGCCAGAACTAAGGGGTTCGTGTTCAGTTTGTTCAACGTGGGCAACGTGATTGGATACACTATCGGTGGAGGTATGTAATAGCGCAGTAACTTCCTTGCTTCAAACGAGGCATAGGGAGATTGGTATGCATTGATTAGGGTGAAGCATGCTTCGCGTACGTTTGCTGTACATATCTGTTTGTTACATGCTGCAGGTTTCCCAATTATTCTGGCTCAATTTCCGGAGACTCCGCAGTTCAGAACGGCTGGCTGGTTCTGCCTGGCTGTTGGAGTGGTACTTCTAGTGCTCCTGCTGGTTCTCTTCCATGGAGAGTGTGCCTGGCAGCCCTATACCAGACTTAGATACCCCAGAAGATTCCCACCTTGCACTAGAAAGAGAGTGGACGAGAAGCTATTCTTCAGTATTGTCGTATCCTGTCATATTTTATGCATACAATGTGTAGTAAAGACCACACACCAATAGGTTACAGTGTTAGGTTACACTGACATATTCCTGACATATTTGCCAGATCCCTGCATACGTGATTATGGTTGGGGGCGTGAAGGGTATCCGCTATCTCCTCCCGACCAAGATGATGACACCTATCGTTGCCGATGCATTTGGCTACTCAGAGAGAGATGCCGTCTATCTCACTACCATCTTCTTTGTGGGGACTGTCATTGGACTAGTGCTGACGTATGTTGTCAAGAAATGAATTACTCAAAGTCAATACTATAATTATAGTAGCGTGCTGACATACAACGTCAATACTCTGTACTACTAGCTATACTGAGTTGTGGTAATCTTCAGTACTTGACTGTAAGCACACACAGTCCAAATTGAAGGATCAAGGAAAAGGCTTTGCTTGTTACATTTTATATAGCTGCAACCAGGTGTTGTGTGTAACTACGTAGAACATGTGTGGGGTCTGGGTACAGTCAATGGATGTACAGTTCAAATTCTTTACCATAGGTACACATTGCAGTTCTTCAAAGTGAGCAGCTACAGTTTGACTGTGACTGGGCTGGTGTGTACCATCATAGGTCTCCTGGTGATGACTGACTGGCAGGCCATTGGCAACGACCCATGCACTGCATACAGCATACTGCACCATCCAGAACTCCTTGAATTCTACAAGCAAGAACTGACACAGCAGGAACAGGAACAAAACAGACTGTGCTCTTCGTCGACAGGGAGAAAATATGACAACTCGTCCATTGCTGCATTACTAGATGCACAAGAGACGACTTGTAGCCTAGTGACTAGTTGTGAGTCTGGCATGAGGGGAAAAGAGACAGACGTCAAGGCAATATTCCAAGTGGAATACGTGGAAACGCCTCAAGCCGAGGTTTGTTTCCATCGAATTCAGAGTGGTAGTAATGAAGTCAGAGTGCAGAGTCTCAGAACAGTTGAATCATTGTCAGAAAGTAGTGGTGCAGTGCATTGTACGTCGTCAGATGTCGGAAGTGAACCATCTAGAACTGCGTCGTCTTGTTTTCTGTTGCACAAAAAGAGCAACGTATCGATCGATAGATCACTTTTGACGTGGGTTCACATGCAAAGTCTGCAGGTGGTGGAGAGAGAGGTGTACCAGATGGCAGTCAACAGGTGTGAGTCTGCAGGGGAACACTGTCACTGGATACCCAACTCCCCAGTCACTGGCAAACACTGCAGTGACTGCCAGCCAATCTGTCGAGACACTCGTCGCACGCTCAATTTCGCGCAGTTTGGCATTGGTCTAGTGTTCTTTTTCTCGACCCTTACGTTCCTCTTCACCGGAGCCTTTCTCCTCCTCTCGGACACTGTCAGCAAATCTTACCAGGTGCAGTTCCTCATATATAGCTATAGTTGTTGTGATTGGTAAAGTGAAGCATATTAAGTGTGAAAGGGATCATACTTGTAGTCTGGCAGTACCCAGTATAGCTCTACCTGGCCCTGAGTATCGGAATACCCACAAAATATCTTGGGCTTTTGCCTGCACAACCAGTGCTATATAGGGACTGCAGTCAAGTTACCTGGTTTATGGAATATGTTAGTGCTACATAATGTTAACTTTTACCTCTGCAGGGGATAAGTATGGCGATGGTAGTTGCCCTATCTGGAGTCTTGAAGATGCTCTCCCCGTGGTGGAGTAAGTTCCTGTAATTACGTCTTGACATTGAGCTGTTGTGTGTACTATCGTGTGTGTTTGCACAGTGACTTCTCTGTACGAGGTGGCAGAGAAAAGGACGTACCTGCTCATGTTGACACTGGTGGGCATATTCCTGCCACTCCTGATTGGACTCCTGCTCCTCTACCCCTGGGTCATGGAGACAATCACACTCAACCAGACCCCAGACACTGACGAAGAGGAGACGGAACTGATACCTGCTGGAACGTCCTCATACACTGACTCTGATGAATGAGAACTAATACCCTTCATCACTTTAGGGAATCTCAGCGCCCATTATTTTTTATATACTATGGAGCTATATATTTTTTCTGAGCGCCAATTGTGAACTCCTTGGCTGCATCCTTCACTAGCTGAGATTGAGTAAAAAGAGGCGAGCAGCGGTTTTATGGGCAAAGTTAGATAGCTACCGGACGTGAGACAATAGTAGATGGAATGCATGGACAACAACCCGACACTACAGAAGAAACATGGAGTTACTCTGGTGAAGTTTCGTGCCTCTTGACTCCGAAACCAGACAATAGGAACCACAATAGCTGTAGACTAAGACAGTCGGGTGGCTGTCAATGTTCACTCACACTGATCCCGTACATACTCACAATGTGTTCCCATACATCGCCACTCGCAAGGCCAGAGCTAAGGATTTACTTTGCTCATCATCATCTTGGCATGGGACCATGACCAATCTGGCGTTGGTGTCTCCCAATGCCAGAGCTAACTTTGGACTTTTCGTTCAAGTATCAAAGGATAGCCAGTGTATTATGTCTGGCCTTAGAGTCATGGTTTTATCAAACAACAATCAACAGGGAACAGGGCCTCTTTGTTGTCCTTGTTCTTAAATGTCCATTGTTATGTTGTGTGCCCATTACACCTACCACTATCCCTTGCCCAGTAGCTACTAGCTATATATTGCTGTCTTCAAGACTGTAGCAAAAAACAATTTTGTACAAAGATAAAGATTGGCTTGTGGGAAAAATAATTACTACCTAGAATTTTCCTCTTTCTTTGAGAGATTCGATTTTGATGAACTGAGTTTATAAGTCTCATTTTCTTCCTCATTCTCCAGAGAATACTGTATCTTCAGACTCCCAGCCAGCCAGGGATAGAGGAGGAGGAGTCCAACCAGCAGTGGTAGATATAGCCCAACTTGAATCAACATCGTCATGTAGGTCCTCTTCTGCTGACCTTCATACATATCATCCACTATGCAAAACATTAGTTACTCCATCACTTGGCAATTCACCCGTGAAAACCAAACAAAATAATCATGGGTAAACTTACGTAAGAAAGGAAATACACTTCTTGCTATCCCAATTAGAGCCACCATAGAACCTGCACTTATTCCCTGAAAGAAAATTCCAATGATAGACATGTAATAGTGTGCATTGAAAGCTACCTGATATTGTTTGCTGACTAAGTCAGACAGAAGCAAAAATGACCCATTGTACCCAAGCATATTGGTTAAAAGGAACAGTGTCACTCCACACATAAACTGCACAAAGTTGAGAGTGTGTGTAGTGCTCCTGCAGATTGGCTGGCAGTCACTGCAGTGTTTGCCAGTCACTAGGGAGTTGGGTATCCAGTGACAGTGTTCCCCTGCAGACTCACACCTGTTGACTGCCATCTGGTACACCTCTCCCTCCACCACCTGCAGACTCTGGACACTCACCATCCCAGACTCTGACATGTTAGACTCTGCCAGTTGCAGTCTGTACTGGTTGGCCAGCTGTGGATTGTGGAACAGACTGTACTCTGTGCAGACGTCACTGCCAATGGCCTGCCAGTCTGTCATTATCAGCAGTGATACTATGGTTGTTATCAACCCCAACAAAGTTAGTCCATATCCTCTCATTTTGAGATACTGAAGCAAATACCTGCAATGTAGATGCAAGTTAGGATTGGAAAGAAATCTCAGCTGGTAATAATAGACGTGCTACAGCAGCCAATGCACTCACAGACTAGCACTTTTATATTATACGAGTGTGTGCTTTTATGTACGTAGCTCAAATAAGACTTGCATGAGAGCTGTATTGATAGCAGGAGCAGTAGAAAGAATGACAAGGAAGAAGAGTGCATTGCCCTGGTCAGAGAACCCAAACGAGTCACTCATTATAGGGTTGAGTAAGACTTCCACTAAAAAGTACTGTATTGCCGTCAGTCCTCCAGTCAGTATGACATACAATGGTGCCTGTGCATATTATCTGTTCAGGACTCTGACTACAAATCAGCTATACAAAAAGGATGCAACGCATATTTGGCGAGTGACCGTAAATATTATGTATACACAGCACCTATTAGACATGTGCCTAATTCAGACTACTAATAGGCTCACTTTGCTTGCTGATTACTCAACCACAAACAGTTTGTTTGTTGGATACAAATATATTGCAGAAATGAGCTCTTGAAGGCTTGGTAATGGATGGCATTTTCTTTGTAATTTGCGTTGAAGCAGCCATACTGCTGCAGTTGCTCCAGGCACACTCTCCATGGAAGAGAGCTAACTGGAGAAGTAAGACTGCCACTCCAGCAGCCACACAGAACCAGCCAGCTGCTCTGAACTGTGGAGTCTCTGGAGTGGTTTCTCAAGAAAAATTTACTGATTTCTCCAAAATCAAAGAAGAGGCCCAATGAAAAGGTTTTCAAGTAGCACATGATCCCGACGTGCCACAGAAGCTCTCACAAATCCAGTGGGTTAGGTGTGTGTGTGTGCAGTTTGATGGAGCAGCTTTTTATGTATCCAGTTATTCTATACTGCATGTCACTGTTTTCCACTACAATGCCATGAAATTGAATCTTTCACTTGAAACGCTGTTGGTGCTAACGCTACTGTTATTCTACCATGGCGGCACCTCGTCAGTGATATTGAGGGTCTCTGCAGTGGGATTGATGATGAACTGATGGTTAGTTGGTATGACACCGGTGTAGTTGATGACTCGTAGGATACATGTGAACATGAGAAACAGCCAATTACTTTTCAGCCTCCGTATATCTTTCCCTGAAAATGATACAGCAGCAGTCTCTGATATATAATACGTATATACATAAGCATTGTAGCTCCGCAGTAGCAAACCGGCGGCGTGTCACAACCCTTAGGATAAAGGTCCATCTTCCTCCACGCATCGCGCTGCCAAGGTGCCAGTAGTCATTTTACGACCCCGCACTTGCGCGCGCGTACCGGGCCAGCGCAGCATTACGCAAACGTTTTGCGCCTATACTCGCATTCAGTAGGCTCACCTGCGGCGGCACGTTTGTCCTCGGTAGAGCTAGAGCACACGCAATAATAAAGGTCCATCTCTCAAATCTGCAATGTGGCAGAATACGCACAGGTCGGCCAAGAACAAAGCTTGCGCCTCTCCGTAAATTCCCTATCACATATATACGTAGCTTTCGAGCGCATGCGTAATAATAATGCCGGATTCACGTCAGCGCTGCGCTGTGCAGCGCGCGCGGGACAGAGCGCCCAAAAAAAGCTAATAAAAATCACTTACACCTACCTTCTTATAGTAATTTATACCACTTGTGAAGGACCCTCATCACACTGCAGCCAAATGGTGTGTGACATGGATGCTCTGTCTTCATACCCTACCCCTGTAGCTATAATTATGCCTATAAAATTTCCGCACAAGCGCACAATCTTATTATAGCACCAGGACGTGTGGACATAAAATAATTGTCCTGAAGAACCGACTATATATGTTCGCTCTGCTTGCCATACTATGTTATGTACACAAATTAATGGGAATTTAGTCTTTCTCTTTCTCCATCTCTTTAGTACATGTGTACTGTATCTTGTGACTCCCAGCCAGCCAGGGATAGAGGAGGAGGAGTCCAACCAGCAGTGGTAGGAATATCCCAACTTGAATCAACATTGACAGGTAGGTCCTCTTCTGCTGACCTTCATAAACAGCATCCACTGTAAACAAAACAACAATTTAATAAAAAATCGGAAACTAAAAACACTTACATATGAGAGGAAAGGCACTCCTTGCTATCCCTTCTAGAGCCACCATAGAAGCAGTACTGATACCCTTTGTGGATAATTGACAACAGAGTGGTAGCTATGCTGTAGCATATTTATGCTGACCTGATATTTTTGGCTGACAGATTCTGATAGAAGCAAGAATGACCCACTGTACAAAAGAGATGAGGTTGAAAGGAAAAGCACAATTCCAACTATGAACTGCACAAAGTTGAGAGTGTGTGTGGTGCTCCTGCAGATTGGCTGGCAGTCACTGCAGTGTTTGCCTGTGACATGTGAGTTGGGTATCCAGTGACAGTGTTCCCCTGCAGACTCACACCTGTTGACTGCCAGCTGGTACACCTCTTCCTCCACCACCTGCAGACTCTGGATACTCACCATCCCAGACTCTGACACGTTAGACTCTGCCAGTTGTAGTCTATACTGGTCGGCCAGCTGTGGATTTTGGAACAGACTGTACTCTGTGCAGACGTCACTGCCAATGGCCTGCCAGTCTGTCATTATCAGCAGTGCAGTTGTGGTACACATCAACCCCAACACACTCAGACCATAACCTCGAAACTTGAGATACTGAAGTAGATACCTGTGATAGTAATACGATGACTTAACGGGCACAATCACTTTCGAGATAAGATCTGAGATCGCTACATTGAACTGGTGTTTAGCAAACATATCTAAACCCAATCATTGTAGGATTAACTAGTACATTATTCTACATAATGGTGCTGAAACTTTTTCACTTACAGAAGAGTGGTACCAATGACAGGAGCCATGGTAAAGACAACAAGAAAGAAGAGTGCACTGTCTTCGATAGAAAACCCAAACGAGTCACTGATGATAGGGTTGAGCAAAACCTCAACCAAAATGTAACGTATTGCCTTCAGACCTCCAGTAAGTATGACATACACTGGTGCCTGTGATGCATATTGGTTCAGGAAGTGTTTAAAAGCAAGTGTTACATATCTTAGTAGGGTTTGGATACAAATATCTTGCAGATGCAGTTTGAAGATGATGACGGTAGCTTCTCTGTGGACATCTTTTGAGTTCTACATTTCCCGGCACACTCTCCATGGAAGAGAGCTAACTGGAGAAGTAAGACTGTCACTCCAGCAGCCACACAGAACCAGCCAGCCGTTCTGAACTGTGGAGTCTCTGGAAACTGAGCCAAGATTGCTGGGAACCCTGCAGGAGGGGAGAAATAAAGTTTTCTAGTCCTAAACTGCAAACTCCTATCATACCTACGCCAAGTCCATATCCAATGGCATATGCAATGCAAGCACTACTGAATAGGTAGCCTTTCACTTTTTTAGCAGTTGTCTCTTCAAACCGGTCAAGTGTCTTCAGATTCTCTGTGTATTTCTCAAAGCTCACAGAGTAATAGGCAAATACAAGAGAGTCTACTGATCCTGTTTGAAGACCAGCTAGGGCACGAGCCAGTATCATCATCCAGCCACTGGTGGCCAGTGCATAGAGAAGGTAGCCGAGAATGTGACAGAGTGTAGAGACCAGTAACAGGTACCAGGTGGGGATATGGTTAAAGAGGAGACCAGTAGCCACTGCAGCTATCACGTGCCCCACAAACAGTGCCTCATAGGTCAGTGAGTAGAAAGTCTCACTTTGCTCCAGACCTGGCTCAACTTTCTGCAAGTTGTAACGAACTTTTGTAATTAAATACTGCAGTCCAATTTACCATAATATTCTCAAAAGCCCACAATGACCTTCAACTCCATTAGAATTTACCTCAGTTCGTTTTATGCAATAATCTAGAATTAGACTACAAGGGGTGGACTATAATTGCCAGTAAGTGAGAGTAACCCTCTTACAAAACTATGAACTCTGTTGCTTACAAGCACAAACTGTGTAGCCATAATCTTTGCAATAGAGAATCTACTGAATCAGTATAATTCACCTCATCAGTGATATTGAGGGTCTCTGCAGTGGGATTTATGATGAATTGATGGTTGGTTGGTATGACACAGATGTAGTTTATGACTCGTAAGATAGATACAAACATTAGAAACAGCCAATTGCTCTTTAGCCTTCGTATATCTTTCTCTGAGAAGCAGTCATCGCTGATTACATTCAATTGATGAGTAGGCTTACCGGCAGCGGCACGTTTGTCCTCGGTAGAGCTAGGGCACGCGCAATAATAAAGGTCCATCTCTGCAACGTGGCAGTCAATACACGGTAGACGGCCAAGAACAAAGCTTGGAATCTGCGCGCCTCTCTCGGTGCAGTGTACGCTGTCGCTTTCGAGCGCATGCGCACCGGATTCACGTCGTTGCGCCAGCGCTGCGCTGTGGCGATGGACAGCTCACTTAGCTACATACGTTTTCATCTACCTTCTTATAGTTATACCACTTGTGAAGGGGCCTAATCCCACTGCAGCCAAATGGTGTGTGACATGGATGCTCTGTCTTCATACCCTATATACATATGCCTATAAAATTCCGCACAAGCGCACAATCTGCATCACATAAAATAATTGTCCTGAAGAACCGACTGCTTGCCATACTATGTTATGTACACAAATTAATGGGAATTTAGTCTTTCTCTTTCTCCATCTCTTTAGTACATGTGTACTGCATCTTGTGACCCCCAGCCAGCCAGGGATAGAGGAGGAGGAGTCCAATCAGCAGTGGTAGGAATATCCCAACTTGAATCAACATTGACAGGTAGGTCCTCTTCTGCTGACTCTCATACACTGCATCCACTGTAGCATTTTGCATTAATTAGCTAATTAGATAGATAGAGCAAGAGATTGGTGTCTGCTTACATATAATGGGAAACACTGTTCTTGCAGATCCAGTTACTGCCATCATAGCACCTGTACTTAAGCCCTAATGAACATGGAAGCATCAGTAATTTCGATGGCACAGTGACATACACAAAGGCACCTGGATTTATGCTGACTGATTCAGATCGCAGTAGAAATACGCCCGTATGATACAGAGGACTGGTGGAGAGAAAGAGACTTATCCCAAACACAAACTGCACAAAGTTGAGCGTGCGACGAGTGTCTCGACAGAGTGGCTGGCAGTCACTGCAGTGTTTTTCCTGTTGTTCGTTTTTTGTTTTTGCAGTGAATGGGCTGTTGGCCGGAGGCTGGTCGTACCAGTGACAGTGTTCACCCGACAGCGACTCACTACTGTTGACTGCCCATTCTGAGTACACTCTCTCTCCACCAACCTTTCAAACGCACATTAGACGAAGCGTGGCCGGGTTCAGACATCGGGAACTCCACATCCCAGACTCCTGACACGTTAGACTTTGGCCAGTTGTAGTCTAGTATGGTTTGGCAGTTGTGGATGGTTTTGTCGCCGGCCTTGTACTCTCCTGTGCCGGACGGTCACCTGCTAAGGTGCTGCGCTGTCCTTATCACGCAGTGATACTCTGGTGTTGTCCCACCCAACACCGTAGATTGTACGCGCGCCCAGTTCCAGAGTACTGAAGCCAACCACCTACTACCGTCCCTGGGATGTCTCTACTGACCCTCCATATTGACCCCCTTTTCCATTCTTCCAGTCGTGTTGCTTTCCGGCCTGAAGGAGCA